AAGATGGAGCTCTTCAATTCCGTTTCCCTCTGGGTTCAAAGTTATCTTCGCTGATAATCAAAGAACACCAGGGATTGTTTTTCATCCACATTACTGCATAATTTAATAATTTCCAATCAAGATGAGAACACCATGGGAAAACTCATACATAAGCTCCTTGTTTCTTTAAGGATCAGAAATCTGATACTGGAATTTCAGTGGCAGCTTTCTGTAAACCAAGGGTGCAGAAATATGTCCTTTCCTTGAATAAAAATCTAACAAAGTGTTCCTTATTAGAGTCCCTTTTCAGGAGCACATTTGCAAAAGTCATGCTTGTAAAATCTAGTAGACTATCCAACCTCATACTACTTGTCCTTTGAACAAGCAGTTTTTGAAACACTGAAAATATAAGAATATACAAACTTACGTCCTCCACACAAATGCAAAATCAAATATACAATGAGCTGTTTCATTGATCATAAAATTAATTATTTTGCTTAGACTATTTGTCCTTCGTGAGGCAAAATTCTTCAGGGGATCACAGCATCTACTATCCCCCCAAAACCTGAGACACTTTTCAAAATGTAGGAAATTCAACATGTCTGCCACTATAAAGTGTCTCCCTTCTTTAGTGGTTGTGCTATCTATAGTTACAGTGGGCTACAGTCAAACAGCTAAAGAATTAGCTTTTTAGAGAGGTTAATTATTTTATTCTAGAGATATTATGTTTGATCTCTCTCCAAAAAATGGAACTAAACTTGGATGTCAGAGGCAGGTGCATAAGTCATGGAATTTGCATGAGTAGAATACAACACATAGGTCATTATCCTGCCTGCCAACCCCCCATGAATGCCCATATCTGTTAAATGCAGTGATGAATTTCATAATCAGGATATGTCATAACGTGGTTGCTTGGTTTTGATTACTGCATTGTATGAGTCTGATCATTATAGCTTCTAAACTCTGATTCATACCAGGACTCTGGAAGTTCCAGAACAGCTCTGGCCCTCTGTGAATCTACAACACAAGCTAAATTATACAGCTGAATTGATATATCCAACTCTTCTTAAAAAGTTATATTTCTTTTGCAGTGGGAAAACTTCACAGGAATTATGGTTGATCCATTTCCCCATTTGAAGGAATTTTTGACTTGCTTCTCCTGGATTTTGGTATTCAGGTCTCTTAGTAGGTCCTTTAAGGGCAACCCTGGCAGGATTCAATAAGTATGAAATTGACAAAAGTTCTGTCTGTTTCCCCTTATTTATGGCAGGGGATCAGTTGGAAAGCCAAGTGCTCAAACACCTGGATTAATTTTTTTCCTTCTGTTTTGTGTGAAAGAGGAAGGGTAGCAGAGACCATTGTCATTCCTCCAGTGGAATGGAAAAGATGCTGTGCTAACATGCCTTTACTGTGTTGTAGTTCATTCAGGAGAATCAGTGTGGTGTAGTAGTTAAGGCACCCAGCTATAAACTGGGAGACTGTGAGTTCTAGTTTCTCCTTTAGCATGAAGCTAGCTGGATGACCTTGGGCCAGTCACCTTCTCTCAGCCCTAGGAAGAAGGCAATGGCAAACCACTTCTGAAAAACCTTGCCAAGTAAACTGCAGGGACTTGTCCAGGTAGTTGCCAGGAGTCAACACAGACTTGAAGGCACACATACAAATAAAAGTCCATTCAGAAACCATGGTTTAGTATGGTAATGTGGGAACCCAGCCATAAACTTATATTCCATTCCATGCAATCTTGCTGTTAAAAAGTAATTTACAAGGAATAATTAGATTTTCCTGTTTCTTTTTGAAAATAATATCTTGCCATAATAAGGAAAAATATTAGAAACCAAATGTTTCTAATATGTTTTATTAGAGCCAAGATGTTTTAAATGTTTAAAAGATGTTGCATGATTATTTGTTTGGAGGGAGGGAGTGATCATTAGAGTAAGATTCATTGGTGTCAAACAAACTGTATTTGCTGAAGAATCAGCAAAAACCAGCTAGAAAAAAATGTTAACTTACTGGATTAATCTCATGGATTGTGGCTACATGATGAAATTACTTTTGCTTTCTTCCATTTTCCATTTTAAAAAAATATGCAGTTCTTGTCTTCATGCATATGAAGACATCTGATTATCTTTGATAAGGTTTTATTTTGTTTTGTTTTAATGTCATTTACACATTTATCGATTTATACCTCCCCGGTACAATAGATACTGCTCTTTCTAGCTGAGTAAAGACCATTACACCTGTTGTGAGGTTTGCAAAAGTTTTGGAAAAGTACTGTATTCTGTAAACCAAATGTGAGTTTTTTTCCAGAATGCAAAGCAGGAGTTCGCTTTTCTTTTTTTTTTTTTTTGTCTTCAACATTAACAATTAGGCTATAGCTGACTGTGTCACTGTGAGTAAACTGAACTGGTTATGGAAACCAAGTTGAACTGTTGAAGAAGTCTGCTATCAATATTTAAAGAACATTACATCACTCTTCTAGACCAAAGTCATTGGCAGTACCTTAATTCTACATTTTTCATAGGCTGGTTTGGGATTACCTCGGATGGTGAAAGGTTCTTGCCACGTGCACATGTGCTGTAGTGTAAGCTGTATAAACAGGGACTTTTGAGTAATATTTCCATTTGCAGCCACCTTCATGAAATCATGAAATTATTACTGTTTGGATTAAAATTAATTTTTTGGAGAGCAAGTGAAACTTTCCCTTCTTACTAAGAAAAGCTTGTTGCAGGCCTGAATTAGAAGCAGTGCCAAGCAACTAGAGCCACAATTCATTTAAAATATCAGTTATACTGTAGGTTATCACCACTAATATATTTTAATTAATTTTATGTTGTTTTATTGCACTTTATACTTACTTTTTATTTATAGGTTTTTGGTATAAGTGTTTCTGTATATATCTGATATACCTATTTGATGGATATTGTGTTTTTTTGGCTATATGGCCGTAACAGAGATTCCCAAAGCCTGTTCTGCTTAAGGAAATTAGTTTGCATATGTGTGCAGATTCTAAATTAGTTATGGTTCAACAGAGAACCCAAAATTAATTCAGGTATATGTATATGCAGGTGTTTTCTCAAATGTTGCTGACTCTTCCACCTAACTTATATAGGACTAATAATGAACATGGGAAGATTTCACTTCAGACATGAGATTACCCCAGGGCCATATATTCTATTGTATCCTCAAGTGAGAAAAAGGAAGTTTCCTTAAAATAAAACAGGAAGAGGGAGGATGGAAAAGTCTAGAAATGATCCAAAGTCATAAAAAACTCAGTTTCTTTAGCTCTCCTTTTTAAAATTTTGACATTTTAATAACACACTGGAGATAGAAAGCAATGGATCTAATAAAACATTATGTCAAACAAACATGATAAAGCTCAGAATGACCCAAATACTTAATTCAAAAGTATTTTAACAGTTTGGCTCTGGTTTTTAATATCTCAGGTTTTGATACTAACCATTCTCTGAATCTGATCCTATAGACTACAGTCATTGTTTATGCAATTTCCCATATTTATTCTTTCATTTTCTTATTCTTTATAACAATTTATTCACCTATTCTTTCTGCAAAGTTTGAAAAGGCAATTTATATTTCTATTATAAAATATTCATATATTTTTATTTTTTGTCTTTTATTGGACTCATCCAGCAAATATGTATAAAACTTATTCTGTTAACATTATTATTCCAGCCTATTTGGAGACAGAATTAAATCCTAATTTCCCCATTATCTGGATATAATAATCCCAATTAGTTGTATCATTTTTACCTATATTAACATCTGGACCTGTTTGCATGTTCCATTTTCATGTACAAACTTCCATAACTGAATTCATTCAATTTTATAAAGTCAGTATCTTTAATGAAAAATATTGTTGTTTGAAAAGATGGGGAATTGGAGTTGGGAAGAAGCCAGTTATGTCTTCTGTCTCTCCTCCATTTCTGCACCCAATACATGTAGAAAGTGCCAAAACAATTCAGTGAACTCCTAATAACACAACCCTGCTTATTGATTATGTGTCATCAGGTCTGTGTTGATTCTTAGTGACCACATAAGCAGATTTTCTCCAGCATGATCTTAACCTGGTCCTCAAGTCTTCCAGCAGTGCACCCATTGCCACTGTAACTGAGTCCATCCACCTTGCTGCTGATCATCCCCATCTTTTTCCTTCCACCTTTCCCAGCCCTAGAGCCTTCTCCGGAAAACTAGGTCATCACATACCTTGTCTGCAGTACGACAATTGAAATCTGATCATTTGTCCTTGAGTGACAACTCTGGGTTGATTTGTTTGATGATCCATTTTTTGTTTTCTTGGCTTTCTGTAGTATTCTCAGGAGTCTTCTCCAAATTCAAAAGCTTCAATACTTTTTCTATCCTGCTTCTTCAAAGTCCACAATTTTGCTTATCCTTTAATAATTGCACAGAGGGAAATGCTGCTTCAATTTAAGTGTTGCATAAAAAGCATCATCTTACATCTTCCTCTGACATGGATTTTCTTACTGAGACCTGAAGTTAAGACATATGTATTTAAGAACGTATCCAGGACTGAGTCATAAGATATATCAAAGTTATCAAGAGGTAACTTTCATTGAGTTCAGTGTCACTTATATCTCAGCAATTTTGTGAAGTCTCAGTCACTCATAATTCTTGATATCAAGAATTATGAGTGACTGAGACTTCACAAAATTGCTGAGATATAAGTGACACTGAACTCAATGAAAGTTACCTCTTGATACAGTCTTGGAAACTCTGATGGAGCATCATGTGATTTATATATATATATATAAATAAAAACACTGATACAGTCAAAAAGACAAAACCTACTACCAGATGCAGCTATAGAAAGCTCACTGCTCTGCTTTCTAGTTTAAGTCTGTAGACATATCCAATTACAGCTTTGTGACCAGGTTAAGGCTGTAGCAGGATAAAAGTATCTGCTGGGGAAAAAACCAAATCAGTTGACATGACTTGAGACCAGAGTCTTAGGTGGTGTTTGCCACTTGCATGGACAAAAAGCAAGGATGTTTGCAGTCCGGACTGGTGGGATAGTGAGGAAAAAGAATCCAGAGTTAAAGAAGCAATTGAACTTTGAAAAGGTCTCCTCAGAAAAGGAGAAGAGATGCAATATTTATGGGCAGATGAAGCAAAAGTCCCGAATTCTGGCCCTTTTCCACCAACTGGAAATGAACTGGTATCTAAGGATCTGTGAATTATCCTACGATTATACAGTAGCCCATGCCAGTGGCATGCCTCACAGGTAAGCTTTTGAAGCATGTGCCTTGAAAAACAAATATTTGCAGTGATGATTTTGGAATCCACAAATGAATCATCGTTATTATATTCTGTGATTATGCTGTGATAGCTGTTCAAAGCATATTTTGTTTTGTTTGAAGGTTTTGCCAGATATAAAAAATAACTCTGTAATGATGCCATCTTGCCTCATCAGCTTTGTTGTTACAAATTGGCTATCTGGGTAGTGGGATTATGAGTGACTGAGACTTCACAAAATTGCTGAGATATAAGTGACACTGAACTCAATGAAAGTTACCTCTTGCCTAGGCTTGCAGTGCTAGCCAGAGCTTTCTAATTCAGGGGGGATATCCCGTCAATGTGAAAATTTTAGTTTGCTTTATTTACTGGAAACAGACTTTTTTCCCCCCAACTGCTGAAATGGTGAGGAGAGGGTACTTTTAACAGAGCAAACTTCTTTCTTTGGAACAATTGCATGCCGTTCAACATTAATAAATCAATATTAATGTCATAAACTGAGACAAATATTTTAATCAGAACAAAGTCAATAAGGATTCTTCCAGCAAAGCAAGATATAGAAATCAGATAACCTTATCATTTTTAGGACTAGTCTTTTTGCCTTCTCCTAGACCTTTATCAACCTATGGAGTCTTTGGTGCTCTTTGAGCTTTGTTGTTTTCTTGCAGACATTTCACTATCTGGCTAGGTAACATCATCAGTGTTAGTGAGTGTGGGGTTTGCTCCCTATTTATATACAGTAGCTTGCCCTGCCAGTGCTGGTGAGGGTGTGGTTTTCTCCTTGGTAGTTCCGTGATTTGGGTATTGTTTTCTGCTTGACTGTTGTCTGCTTGATTGTCTTCTTGGTGGTTCCTTTTTTAGGGTATTATTTTCTGCTTGGATAGTGTGGAAATCTGGTTTATTAACGTCTAATTGTCATATGTCCATGTCATGTGTCCATGCAATCACTAGGAATAGAGCTCAACTCTAGGAAGTTTGACTTTTAAAACTTTAACCTAAAAAAAAAAAAAATGATAGAAAAGACAACTAGATAAGGGCAGACTTCTTCCTCAAAATGGTCTGCTTCCAAGCCTTCTCCATTTCCATAGCTCTTATCCACACCCTTCTTTAGCTTCTTGAATTGATACCTGGGGGCTGATCACACTATCAAGGGTGTGATATGTTCTCTGGGCCACCTGTGGAGGCTATCTCCCTATTCAAAGGCCACAGGACTTCTGCTCAGCCTAGTTCTCCGCATCACTCTTTACTTAGGAATGCTATAGTACAGTCTATTCTGCTGGTGTCCTTGAAATATCTATGCTGTAAAATCAGGCACCCTCTAATGTGAAATGATAGGGTTAAATTTTAAGTCATCATAATATTTGCTTGAAACTACTTTCCATTACCTATTCAGTTTTGTGTCTGCTTATTCTTCAATGAACAGCTCACAATTTGGCTCTATAAAAAGTGTGCTGACTCAGCTTGCTTTCAAAATAAAAAACATAGCCAAGATCATCATAAATCATTGTCTTGCAAATCCAGCGTGGCTGAGAAACAGGTAGCGCTTTCCCAACCATGAAGCTATTTCCTATAATAGAAAGTATAGCTGGCCAGTAACTAAGGCTGCAGCCCTGTGCATGCTTTTCTGATCACAAACCCCATTAATCTATTGGGTTTACTTCTGAATGGATATGCATTGGATTAAACTTCATTAATAATATGGATAGAATAGATCATTAAGAACTGGAGTGTACTCGCTGGATTTTGACCAAAAGATCTGTGGCAGTTAGATTGACTGATTGATTATGTGCCATCAAGTTGTTTTTGACTCCTAGCGACCACACACACAGATTTTCTCCATGATGATCTAACCTGGTCTTTCAAGTCTCCCAATGGTGCACTCATCACCACCATAATTGAGTCCATCCACCTTGCTGCTGGTTATCCTCTTCCTCTCTTTCCTTCCTCCTGTCCCAGCATTAGACCTTTCTCCAGAGAGCTGGGTCTTCACATAATGTGTCCAAAGTAGGATAATTTGAGCCTGGTCATA